ATGGTGGTAAAAGGGGAAGGGGTGGGGGGGGGGGGGGGGGGCGGGGGAGAAGGGATAATCATTAGGAGAAAAGATTCAGGATTATTAAGTGATACTAGTTTGAAAGCTGCTTTTCTAGTCAGCATGCCCCTGTTTTAACTGCTTTAACTAAAGGTCAAGAAAATTGTACAGGAAGCTACATGGATCCACATCTAGTAGGGCATTGGATTTTTTGTTGTTGATTAATGCTCATGGCCTTTGTGTGTGTGTGTGTGGCGTGTTTTTATTGGTAAGAAAAAGTCAAAAGGATTTGCTTTAGTTTGAAAGCTGCTTTTCTAGTCAGCATGCCCCTGTTTTAACTGCTTTAACTAAAGGTCAAGAAAATTGTACAGGAAGCTACATGGATCCACATCTAGTAGGGCATTGGATTTTTTGTTGTTGATTAATGCTCATGGCCTTTGTGTGTGTGTGTGTGGCGTGTTTTTATTGGTAAGAAAAAGTCAAAAGGATTTGCTTCCTGTCTTGCAGCTAGTAGCAGAAATAAGGCTAGCCCTCTGGACTATTACTTTTCAGGAAGAACGGCGTTGTGCAAGAGGGTTTTTCTTGCACAAGAAGGGATAGTGTAGATGCTCCTTCTTGCGCAAAAGCCTCTTCTAAAAAAAATGGCAGCTCATTGGTATGCAAATGAGGCTTGGCGATATTCCACGCTTAGCCTCATTTGCATATTGCTTGCGCAAGAAGCCGCAAGTGTAGACATAGCCAGAATGACTTCAACCCAGGTAGGACTGCCATGCCTCTAAGGAATTTGAGGCATGGAAGTGGACTGAACAGGAAGGGATTAGGAGTAAATAAAGGGAAAATGTGTATTTAGTTGCAGTCAGAGCATTTTTCTTTGTTTTGGTTGTTTGGTTAAATTTCCTGGTGGGAATCTGTCTTGCCTCCCTCATTTGCTATCTAAGAGTACCCAGAGATGTTCTCTGTGTTTTCATTTGTTTTGCTCAGTTGCTCTGTAACACCTAACGCGCACCTTCTTTTTTCAAGCTCTCTTGTGGCAGAGGAGCTTGGGGTACTCCTGGGCAAGGAAGTCCAAGTGCTTTCTTTCTGGGTTCAAGAAGAAAGAGGCTTGTTTTACTTGGTGGTGACAGCTACCCTCCAAAGTCAGTAAATCTGTAAAGCATGATTTTTTGTATGCAGGGCCTAATAGAGGCAAGGTATTTAAGGTCTTTTGTGGGCCCCCCACCCCCATCTTCTGCACTCAGAGTGCCTGAGTGGGGAACAGCTCTGACAAACAGCCATCAGATTGTGTGCTCTCAAAAGACAGTTTCTGATGTCTCACACTGTGTGTCTTGTAGAGCAAATAGTTGAGGTTTACTTGGACTGCATAATCTGTGTGCTGCTATGATCAAACTCCCTGCTGTTTTAAAAGAAGTCTTGTGTTATTTTGGATATGAAAAGTGTATAATGAAAGTGAATATTTTCTAAAATTGTGGAAAAAATGTGTTGCATGATCAACAGGATTCATATGGATCTGAAGGCCGCTTAATTAGTTTGTGTTAAATGAACCTCAGAATGCCTATGTACAGCATGAATCGCACTGTATGGACAATCAGTTATAATGCCTGTGTAAAATGTTAAATTTTTCATTTAAAAATGAATAAATCATTTTTATTGTATTGTTGCTTTATCCTCCTTGGGCCAATTTTTGTAAAGTTATTTTCAAAGTGGCCTAAATAAGCAGACAAGTACCTAGGTATTTTTGAAAATTCCAGTAGGCACCTATCTCCATCTATAGATGTCTAAATAACTTAAATAATCTGTCCCATCACTGCTAGAGATCTCATTTGCCAAATGTTCTGGAAAGCTAATCCTAGTTTAGAATTCGAATCTCATACAGTATCTTTGCGAGCTGTGATTAGTTATCTGAACCCAGCCAGTTCTTAAACCTTATATCAGTATATGGTTTGTATTTACTATTTAACACAACACTAAATTTCAATAATATAATGAATATAACCGGGAATTTTTACTCTTTTAGATGTTGTTATATCAATAGTTTTTTCCATAGTTTACCTGAACTTTTGTCTCTGTCAGGTTTAGTTCAGTATTTTCTAGTCTCTCACTATGACCCACTGTTACTTTTCCATTGAAAAGACTTATACTTTTTTTTTTTCCAGGATCCAACCAATCTGGATAAATTTAATGTCTCCAATTTCTTCCATGTTAAAAACAACTTAAAAGTAACAGACCCAGGTAAGGATGAACTAAAGTTTGGCTGAGGAAACTCTAACTGTGATATACAAACAGAAAGAATAATTTGAGGAATTTTTCAAAAAAAGACGACACTGGATGGTTGGCTTATGAAATGTTATGCAGCGCTTCCTAGACACTCCAGCTGAGATTGGGACCTGTAGTTCTAGATATTCTAGAACGGGTGGGCAAAAGCCTCTCAGCAGGCCAGATCTGGCCTGCCTTGGGCTTTGATCCAGCTCCTGATATACAAACAGAAAGAATAATTTGAGGAATTTTTCAAAAAAAGACGACACTGGATGGTTGGCTTATGAAATGTTATGCAGCGCTTCCTAGACACTCCAGCTGAGATTGGGACCTGTAGTTCTAGATATTCTAGAACGGGTGGGCAAAAGCCTCTCAGCAGGCCAGATCTGGCCTGCCTTGGGCTTTGATCCAGCTCCTGACGCAATTACAGGCCCAACCCCCTAATTACAGGCCCCACCGCCCCCCCA